GTGATGCGAGAGGGTATTTTCAATTGAAGTGCTTATTTCCTACTGTGAGAGAAATTTCTGCCTCAGCCAACTGTCAGTCTCTTTCTCGTCTGAGAATAATCCGCATATCAACACGCTTCGCCGGAAAGAGATAGTTGGATATATATATATATATATATATATATATATATATATATATATATATATGCGAAGCGGTGAAATCCTCACTTCTGCTCTCTTGTACCTGTTATTTGCACATGCTGCCGACTTTGCTTTTGCGGCCTTGTCGAGTTTCCTTGAATGAAGGAAAAAGGGGCTGGCAAGAGAACGAGGTCTCCTAAATATTTTAATGTCTCATATATATATATATATATATATATATATATATATATATATATATATAAATATGCCAAAATTACTTTTTATAGAAAAAAAATTCACACATTTTTTTTTAATTTAAAAATTCAACACAAAAAATTATTTATCAATCTTCATCTAAAAATACTCAGGACTATATACATTGTACGATATTTTTTTTCAATTATTCAAAATATGTCCTAAAAATATATCTTTTTTAATAAAGGTAAGAAAAAATTTATTTTTTAATTTTAAAACACTAAATTATTTTTTTAAAATTATTATTTTAAATCAAATTAAGATAAAAAACGCATTAAAATCGCGAAAATAAAGAGAAACGCAACTTAAATTCAATCTCAGTAGAGAAGTGCGGTTTTGGTCAGCCGTAATATATTACTGAGCGAGAGAGAGAGAGAGAAAGGAAGCGGGAAAATATTTTGCTCCGATAGTTTCACAAACTCTATAGCTTGTATGTTAATTATTCAGACCTCGAATTTATGAATGTCGAGGAAAATAAAATATAAAAAATTTCGAAACAAAAAAAAAAAAAAAAATAAATAAAAATAAAAATAACTAAAATAATGAGTAAAATTCCTTTACTTTGTAGGTCAAAGCTGATAATATTTGAATAATAATTATGAAGCCGCGCAACCTAAAAGCAGCAAACGAATGAAATTCGTTATTTAATGTATTTTAACGTCACTTTCAATGAAGAGATAAAAATGTTTATTATTTCAAAAAAAAAAACAAAAAAAAAAATTCTATATAAAAACAGAATTTAAATACAGATTTTTATAATACATTTTTTTATGGATATTTTTTTTTTGCAATTTTTTGTTTATAAAATTTATAAAAATTCGACGCCTATTGTTAATAAAATTGCAATTTAATTGTATTTGTTTATAAAAATTTGTTTAAACAACTTATATTTTAAACAATTTTTAACGTTTAATGATGGGCGTTAATGAGTTAAATTAATTAATTATTTATTAATTATATAACAAATATAATATTCATAGTGATTTTTTTTCCGGACCCCCTAAAAAAAAATTTCTTTTCTATATATTTCTATAATTTATTATATATTACATATTATACAGAGTGATTTTTATGTTCTCGACCCCCCAAACATTTTTTTTTAATTTCATTTTTTCGTTTTTTAAACAAAAAAAAGTGGAATTAAAAAATAAATTAGGGGGTGAAATTCCACCCTGAAATTTGTTATATAATTAATTAATATTAATTAATTATTTTAATATTAATATTAATTATAACTATTAAAATTTTTTTTTATATTATTATTAATTATATAACAAATATAATATACAGGGTGCTTTTTTTTTGTTCCGGACCCCCTAAAAATTTATTTTTTAATTCCACATTTTTTTTGTTTAAAAAACGAAAAAAATGAGATTTAAAAAAAATGTTTAGAGGTTCCAGAACATAAAAATCACCCTGTCAAATATAAAATATATAATAAATATAAATGGGACGCATGATTATGTTCTAAAAATCATTAGTAATAATTTACATTTTATCAAATTTTATTTGTCCTAATTAGTTTTGAGCCGAATTTTAATTTGTTCGAAATAGCATTTGGCATAATTTTCATCAATCCGATTTTCTATATGGCAGAATTTTTATATAACGGAAAATTCAACTCACAGAATTTTTATTTCTTCGAATTTTTATTTGTCAGAATTTTTATTTGCTCGAATTTTCATTTAACATAATCGGCATTTTAAAGAATTTTTATTGGGTAGAATTTCATTGAATAGAATTTTCATTTAGATGAATTTTCATTTGTCCGAATTTTCAAATGGCCGAACAAACAATCGACAGAAAGATTTCAGCGCGATTTTTAAAATTAACCAATCACAATTTTATGAATAATTTTTGATTGGTTGATTTTAAAAATCGCGCCTAAATCTTTCTGTCGATTGTTTGTTCGGCCATTTGAAAATTCGGACAAATGAAAATTCTATCAATTAGAAATTCTATTAAATGATTTGTCGGTTAAGTAAAAATTCTGTAGTATGAAAAATCGATTATATGGAAATTATATCAAATTATAATTCGAACAAATGAAAATTCATCTAAATGAAAATTCATCTAAATGAAAATTCTATTCAATGAAATTCTACCCAAATAAAAATTCTTTAAAATGCCGATTATGTTAAATGAAAATTCGAGCAAATAAAAATTCTGACAAATAAAAAATTGGAAGGAATAAAAATTCTGTGAGTTGAATTTTCCGTTATATAAAAATTCTGCCATATAGAAAATCGGATTGATGAAAATTATGCCAAATGCTATTTCGAATAAATTAAAATTCGGCTCAAAACTAATTAGGACAAATAAAATTCGATAAAATGTAAATTATGACTAATGATTTTTAGAACATAATCATGCGTCCCATATAAATATATAATAAATTATAGAAAAATAGAAAAGAAATTTTTTTTTTCTATAAAAGGGTAATTTATTTTGCTTTCAAAAATTCTTTTTTTCATTTTGTTGTTTTTTTTTGGGGGGGCAGGGGACAATAAATAAAAAACAAATACAATGTTTTTGTCGCGTAATACAAAAGTGCATCATTTCGTTTGGAAATAATATAAACGAAAGCGCAATTTGCCAATAAACGGAAAAGTTATGTTTGTGGATATAATAGAGAGAGAGAGAGAGAGAGAGAGAGAAATCGATAACCGCGATAGAAATGCGCAGTCATTATGCGGAATAAATGATTCTCTTTACTATTTTCAGGCACTAAGCGCATTCTCGATAAGGATAAACCGAGCGCGGATATCCCATTTGAAAAGCCATTGAGAGTTGTAAAGATATATACGTTATAACATGCTACTGATAATGTTCCGTTGTTAACTCTCCAAACTATATATAGACATGGACTTTATAGTTTGAAAAATAATAAAGTCCTTATCTTCCGTAAGGGTGGGGGGGGAGGAGGAACTTATTTATTTATATGCAGAAAAAAAAAACACGACAAAATTCTTTTTAAATATAATATAACACAATCGTTAATTATTATTCCCTTCCTTAATGGTTCTTTCTTTCACAACTAATTAATTATTATTAAACCGAGGTAAATATATCCATTTATTTAATTACATCGAAAAATCTTATTAAATATTTATAAAATGCTAAGGGCTAATATTTATTGTTGAAAGTGACCCTAATAGTTTTGTAGGGCAATTTTTGTACACAAAAAAAAAGAATATAAGGGCTACTCTCATGTTGCAAACACGTGGAAGTCATGTGAAAAAATAAAGATTATAATAAATGGTTTCCCATGGGAAAGAAATATATATATATATATATATAGTTTCCCTTTGAGGAAATATATATATATATAAAGGGTCGTTAAAATTGCCCTTTTAGAGACTTCATAAATTCTTATATCGTTTCAAAAAAAAAATGAGGAATATTTTCCAATCTTAATTTCATTAATCTTTGCGAGAGAAGAGAAAAATCATTTTTTTATAATGACTTTATGATTTAAAAAATTTGCAGATTTTTTTTTGCTTTTTTTTTGAAGAGACGATAATAAAAAAAAACAAAGAATTAAGAAAATTTTTTTTTCAACTCAATTTTGGGTATTAGAGATAAAATGCGGAACTCTTCTCACAATCAGTGGAACAGTTACGTTTATTGTCAGGCACTGGATTCTTTTCAGTAGAATAACTCCTTTTATGTGAGACGCGACGCTTGAGAAATTCTTTCCAGTAGATTATTTCTGCTTTAGTCAGACACAAACACTTGTGAAATTTTTTTTTATAAAAATAGTTACATAATTATATGTTTCAAAAAAAAAAAAATATTTTTGTATTTTAAAAAATTTTGGAATTTATTTTTCTTTCCTCTTTTGTATCTTTTCAGTTTATATGCATTTTTTTTTTTTTTTTTTTTTTTTTGGTCCTACTCACGGTTGTAAGGCTTTATTTTCATCTCAGTAGAATGATTCTATTTTATCAGACCGCCGGCCACGAAACGCTCTTCAGTGAAATAGTTCCACTTAGTCGGACACAACTTGAGAAATTATTTTCAGTAGAATAGTTCGGGTTTTCGTTCTGAAACCAAGTGAATATTACAACTGATTTTTTTTTCACTTTAGAAAGGAAATAAAAAAAATGTATATAAGAAAAACGTTTTAAAAATATTAAAAAAAAAAAATTTTTTTCTACTACTGATTTTAAGAAATGAATTTGTCTGACTGTAACTGAAGCTTACTACTTAAAAAAAAATTATTTAAAAATTTATTCCATGTTAATTTTTTCTACTGAATTTCAATTTTTCTGTCTGACTAAAACAATAATAAACTACTGAAATAGTCTGTCTGACTATTACTGAATTTTACTACTGGCAGAAAAAAAACAATTTTTTACATTACTGAGAGTAATGAAAAAAAAATTTAAATATAATTTTGTCTAACACAATTTTTTACTACTGAGAGAAAATTAAAATAAGTAAATTTGAGAATAAAAAAAAAATAAAAATTCCAAAAATACACAGTATTTTAATAGTCAAAACACGTCTGCCCACTGAAAAAGATAAATTAAATTCTTGACTTGCGTTCCCCAATTAAATATATCGTTTGTATTCAGCAACGTGAGGCATTTAAAAAAAAAATGATAAATTGTCATTTTCAGGAGTTACGAGACTGATTCCCTGGCAAATGTTGACACACGAGCATTCATCGATTTCCAAAGGTCTGGCTAGTATCAGTAACGGCAACATCGACGACCATCAAAATAATGTGAATTCAAGAAAATTGTCAAAAAAAATTTTTCGCATAATTAATAAATCTTAAATCATAAATTAAATTATATATGAAAAAAAAGAGAAAAAAAAATGTAATTTTACAGCAAGAGACAAAAAAATATTGTTGATACATATAAAAAAAAAAAAAAATTTTTTAATGAAATTAAAGAAAATAAATTGCGATAATTGTCGAAATTACAAAATGGACAACGTGTATAATAATAATAATAATAATGATCGAGAGATCAGAAAAAATGTTCGATATAGAATAATAATGATAATAATCGATGATAATGAGAGAAGTGAGAGTAAATTGTCGATAACCGATCGGTAATCTTCAATTGAAGGTCATGGAGGCCAACATCACTATTAATGCTTCCTTCGTGACAGCCACATCTTTTGGTGACGTCACTGCAATTCTTACTGCTGCCGCTTTAGGAATTTTGATCCTCGCTACCGTTGTAGGTGAGTTTTCTCAATTTTTTTTTTAAAAAAAAATTTAATTTTTATTTCCTTTTTTTATAATTATTTTTATACCAAGAGATTTTTGAATATTCCCAAAAAAAATTCCTTTCAGATTTGCATAATAACCCCCACAGCACCGAAAATTTCCTGAAAATTTCCTAAAGATTTATTTGCAAACTTCGGAAACTTTAATTGCAAAGTTTAGAGAAAATTGTATAAAGATTTAAATGTCCAAAATGAATAAATGTTTGGCGTAAAACTTGACGGAAGATTTAAATTAAATTTTCCAGAAATTTTCGACGCGAAAATTGAGTGAAGATTTAAATTAAAGTTTCGTGAAATGTTCGGCGTAAAAGTTGACTAAAAATTTAAATTAAATATTTATTAAAAATTTATACCGAAAGTTGAGTGAAAATGTAATTTAAATATTCAGTCAATTGTATATATTCCATAATAATTTAAACAATTTGAATTTATTAAAAATAAACTCATATTTATAAAAAACTAAAATTAAAAATAACTCAGATGACGTAGACTACACTCAGAGATAATGCAGAATTTCCTACTGAGACACCACCTCGGATAATCAAGACCTCGGATAAACGGGGTTTCACTGTATTACATTTTGTAATTAAAGAAAAAAATTTGGCATAACTAAAATAAAAAAAATATATAATAATAAAATGCTTGGTCTGTGCTTCTGTCCTAACTTGAAGTTGGCCTTTTCTGATTTCACGTGTTTTTTTGAATAGTAATCTTATGACGTGTCAAATTTTGACAATTCTTTTTCTCATTTTTGACAAAGTTGTATAATTGTATTTCCAAATTTCGGAATAAGTTTCTTTAAAATTCCAAATTCGAAAATTCAATTCACAAAGTTGAAGTACACAACGTTTACCAACGAAATTTTTTTTAAAGTTGTATATTGATTCAAAAATTGTATACAAATACAAAAAATTTATGATGAGAAAAAAGATGCGCCAGGAAATTTCGTACAAGATAGTAATTTGAAAAAAATTTATTTTTAAAAATTAATTTTTAAGGTACCAGGGGCCAACGAATATCTATTAAATATTAATTATAAAAACACAGGCCTCGAATCAACTTAAAGACACAAAAAAGTCGTTTTCGTCGATTTATATTCCAAAAAAAAGTGGATTCGTTTTTTATTTTAACAAAAATATTTTACAGATTTTTAAATAAAAAAATTTTTTTTTTAATAATAATCCTTTTCGAAGGGTTAAAGTTGAAATTTTTAGAAATAATTAAATTTCAAAAGATATATTGTTAATTTTCAAAAAATTATTAAATTTTACAGAACTAAAAATAATTTATCAAACAATTTTTGGAAAACATTTTTTAAATTTAATTGAATTTTCAAAGATTTAAAATTGACATTTTTGAAATTAATTGAAACTTTAAGTGTTTTGTAATTAAAATTTTAGATGATTTCACTAAAAATTTATTAGAAAATGCGGACAAAATACAATAATTTGAAAATCATTTTTAATTAAAAAATGGTTTCAGATAGTTGAAATTTCAAAGAATATTATTAAAATAGTTAAAAATAATTGAATTTCCTTAGAGTTATAATTGAAATTATTAAATTTCAAAAAAAAAAATTTTCGATGGAAAATTTTAGAAATTATTAAATTTTAGATGCTTTTAAATTCAAATTATTGAAAATTCAATTAATTTTGAATTCAAATTTTTGAGAATAATAAAAATTTAATTTGATTTTAAATTTGGAAAATAATTGAATTTCAGTTCATTTTGAATTTAAAATTTTGTGAAATAATTGAATTTTAATTGAAATTTTGGATAATAATTTAATTTAAGTTCATTTTTGATTGAAAATTTGGATAATTAATTTTGAATAGAAATTTTAGAAAATAATTGAATTTTATTTCATTTTAAATTGAAAACTTGGTAAATAATTAAATTTTAAATTGAAAATTTTGGATAATTATTGGATTTTTAATTGATTTTGAATTAAAATTTCGGGTAATAATTGAATTTTAGTTTATTTTGAATTGAAATTTTCAAAAAATAATTCAATTTTATTGTGATATTTTTTTTTTTTAAATTATAAACAATTGTTAAATTTCATAAAAATTTTAATTGAAAAATAATTTTGATATAATTGAATTTGTGATATGTATTTCATTAAAATTATTAAAAATAATTAATTTAGTGAAGAATCATTTTAGTTCAAAATTTTGTTAAATTATTATTGATAATATTAATCTTTAATTTCTTTATAACAAACAATTAAATATTAATTTTGCTAGTAATAATAATAAATAAATATACTTTATACCACAATCGGAATAAATCTTCAATAACTCGAGTTTTTCATCACTTTTGTTTTCAATTGAATGGGATATTATATAAATCAACAATACAATTATCATACGATTATAATTATATACTATATGAAAACATTGTAATATTAATAAGTCGTGTACTATTCACGTTCATCATGCTTTTGCAAATATAATAATAATAATAATAATAATTTTACCGAGATTTAGCAAGTAAATTATGACACACACAAACATACACGTAAACACGAAAAAGCCACCTCTATTTTGTAATTAAATTATGGACTTCATCAATTTCTCACTTGTGAAATTAGGTCGATACTTGTAAATTTATGGATATTTCATTATCATTGTGGTTCAAAAAAAAAAAAAAAAATTTCTGATGGAGGGTTGATTTTCAAATAATGTCATTTTTCTTTTTTTTACAATATAAACAAGGAAACAAAATTAGACTGAATTATTAATTAATGTAAATATAAATATAATTAAAGTTGTTTAAATTATCAAGAAAATTTATTTATTCCAATTATTATTTTGTAAATAATCGATACTATTAATTAATTTAATTATTCGTGATATTAAAGTGTAGAAATTTCAATTTAATGTCATTTCAATCATTGCATTTTTATTTTAATTAATTTTCATTTAATTAATTTTTATTTTAGTTAATTTTAATTTTTGTTAATTTTAATGTTCGTTAATTTTAATTTTAGTTATTTTTCATTTTAATTAATAAACGATTCTAATTATACCAATTATTATTTTAGTTATTATTATTTATTTATTTAATATAGACGGGCAAATTTATTTAATTTAAATTTTAATTGAAGGTACTTTCAATCATTGTAATCAACATTTATATCTACCAACGATTTCAATTTTCAAGGAATAATTACCATTAATTATAACTACAAATTATTGTAACTTTAGATTTACTGTAATTTACAGTAAAATTTGCCATTCATTATTATTATTATTATTATTTATAATTTATAATTTATAATTATTATTTACTATTATTATTTATTATTAATTACTATTATTTATTTATTAGTACTTATTTATTATAATTTACTATTTATATTATTACTTAAATTTATAAACAAGTTGAATTGGAATAATTTTTGTCGAGAAAAATCTGTAGCCGCTGGGAATCGAACCCTTAATTTCGCATTACATGTCGAGAACGTTGATCACTAGACTACGAAGCCTAATGAAAAAACTTCGAACTAATCACTTTGATAGGTCGCAAGACCAAAGTTACAAATATTAAAAAATTGTTCGAGTCAACAAAATTTTGGTTCAGTAAAGAAAAAAAAAATATTTAAAAAAATATCTTCATTTGTATTTTTTATGAAAATCGCAAATATTTTGCTCTTATGACATAAAAAAAAAGAAAAAGTGGCTTTGATAAGAATAATTTTTTTTCGTCGAGAAATAGCAGCATTTTCATCATAATTTTTTTTTCTCCCCCTATTTTTTTTTTTTGGTGGTGCAGACTCTAAAGACGTCACCATATTCCTTTCTTTTCACGTCCGGTCATTTTGTTTCCACTTACTTTTTACACTCATATCGTTTCTTTTCCTCTTTCAGAAAATTGTTGTTACCCTCAAGCACCTTAGCTTTCGTCCACTTTCCAAGCTCATTTATTTCTAACGTTTGCCCATTCGAGGAACGGGGGTTCTCTCATTTTGCTATAAATTTTTTAAGAGAATGACATCATGGCGATTCGCCACACAAAATACTTTTATCTCAATGGAAGGTGGTTTTTTTTTTTTTAAGATGAAGAAAAAAATAGTCGTGAAATTATTTTTGTTCCGAGTAAGCAAACTTGTTGCTTTCGCTCGTTGACTTCATATATATATATATATATATATACTCTTCTTTGTCTCTAATCGAGTTTATCGACTTTTTATCATTCCATTTTCAATTAGTTAGATTATATCTGAATTATTTAATTTACATCGAAAAAAATTTTTGTATGATGAATTTTTTTTGCAAAAAAGGTTTTTAGAATTAAATTTTTATTCCTTGAAAAAGGGAGAAAATGGAATTGATTTCATATGATTAATTAATTCATTGACTACAATTTCGGCAAATGGGAAAATTTTTAATTCCCGTTATTATTTCTCCTTGATCATCTATTCTGTTTCAATATTTGGGTTTTCGAAAAAATTTTTTTTTATTTTTTCCTTTCAAATATCTCTGCGATCAAAAGAAATATGAATTTCAAAAAAAAGAAATGATATAGAAAAAGAGAAAATTTTTTTCATAATTAAAAAATTTATACTAATTATTAAAAACGAAAAATAATTAATCAAAATGAGAAATTTCACCATAAAACAAGAAAAGGATCATTGAGTTTTGTATGATCAATGAGAATAATAAACGAATAGAAATTTGAGTCGATTTACATTTATCCTATATATATTTTATTATATTCTCTCACTATATAATATATATATATATATATATATATTGAGTCATTGTAACATTTGAATTTAATGTAGCGAATATTGTTGAAATATTGAATTGCTAATTACAATTTCACAATTTAATATACGCGTATGACAGATTTTGAATGGCCATAGAAACTGTTCAGAATTACAATAACGCTCAAAGTATTCATGTTGATAATAACGCACCAAATCCAATACAAGAGTTTATAAGCGATAT